TCCAGCCTCCTTGCAGTGTGAGGTGGGGATACAGGGTGGTCCAGGACCACCTTTCTGGTTACTAGCTGGATGCCACTTGGATGCAGGTCAGGGGGCCAGAGCCCAGGCCACAACCTGCCCACACCCGCTTTCTTGGATCTGCCCCTCTCAGCCTGGCAGACCCTCCCCAGGCACCAGGTCCATCTGTACCTGGGATGAGTAAGGATTTGGGGGTTTGCAGCCCAGAGCTGTGACCATGGGTTGCCGTCTCCCTCCCGTGGGAGGCCGCAGGTTTCCAGAATCTGAAGTGCYAGGGAGCCGCCTGGCAGGAGGCTCCCTGGGCTCGGGCTCCGGGGGGCACCCCCTTGCCCTCCTGCCCTCTGTGGTCTCAGGGTTTTATCAAGCAGCACCCCCCCTCCGGGGGCCAGGCGAGGAGCCACTAGACCAGGTGGCAGTCACCAAACACAGTCTCATAAACGACAGGGTCAACCGGGCTGAGGGACTCCACACCAGCGTGCCCAGGCAGAGGAGGGCCCCTGGAGCTCTGAAGGACGCTCTTTCCGCTGCGGTTTAACTGAAGTAACTGTGGATGCCCACGGTAGTGAGCAGTGGAGATCCCCATGGCAGGGGAGATCCGTGCGCCCCCGCCCCAGTCAGGCACAGTCCAGCCCCCTCAGAGGCCCCGGGGCTCCCAGGGCGTCTGGCTCTGTGTCCAGGGTGGTCTGTGCACCCCCTGCACCACCTGGGCCTGTCTAACCCCGCGGCCCCAGATGCAAGGGGGGCCCTGTCCTCAGGGAGCCCCCTCCTCCCCAAAAGTCACTCCCACCCCTGTGTTGASGAGCCTCGGGCACCACACCTGCCTGTGGCCACTGAGCCTTCGGGGCAGCCGCTGTCTGCTGGCCGGACTTCCTGCTGGGAGGGTGGACTTGCAGATGCCGTCGGCACCCACCCAGCCATGGCACCAAGGGTGGGGCTCTGGATGCTCAGGAACCGGGTCTGGTGGGCTGGCAGGGGCATGTGGCCTCCTGGGCCGGAGCAGGCTGTGCCCGGTGATGGGGACAARCAGGGTGGGGCTCTCCCATGGAGAGTCGGGGCGTTGCGGGAGCGTGGAGAGCTCTGGGAGGGAGCTGCTGGCTCAGGCTACGGGCCCTCCGAGGAGTGGGGGCCAGCAGGGCTGAGACTGCTGGGGCCGTCGGGGGGTCGCCTCCGTGTGTCCCCAGGGACCCCCACAGGGCCTTGCTGGGCACCGTGTGGCGGGCTGCCGGGGCACAGCTCTCTCCCCTCCTCTCTAAGGGCCTCCCCTCCCCGCAGCCCCGGYGCAGGCCTGTGACGGTGCCGGCATGCTTTCTGGGTTCCTGGTGGCCCTCTGCAGACCCGCCCCTCCACACACCCTACCACGCTCGTACACACACTCCTGTGGCCACGCCCGCGTGACGCCCACTCTCCACCGGCGCTCAGGCCCTCACCCTCCCCTGCAGCCCTCAGAGCTCATGTCCACTCACAGCCCAGCCCACGAGGACACCCAATGGTGAAGGTCCCCCAGACTCCCGGGCCTCCCATGGAGGCTCCCATCCTCTCCTCCAGGTGATAACAGCTCGGGTTCCAGGAGAGGGGCTGGTGACCGCCTCCCTACCATGGGGCCAGGGGGTCGTGGGCAGCGAGGAGGCCCGCCAGCTGCTCAGACCCTGCCCTGTGTCTCACACGGAGGTCCTCATTCAGGTCTCCCCACCACGTCTCTCCACACCCCGGAATCCTGCCGCGGGTTTGCTTTCTCCGTGGGGGTCTCTGGGAGATGGTGGGGTGGCTTGGCTCAGGAAGTAGTCACCACACTGGGAGGGAGGGGACAGAAGGCTCCCTCTGTGAACCTGGGACCAGCCCTACACCAAAGGCTGGGCGGGAGCTGGGCACGGAGAGGCCTGAGGACACAGTGGCTCCCAGCCGGTGCCTCCTTCCGGGGGCAGCTGGGTCCTCTGTCCTCGGACCTGGACAACCCAGCAGGTCCACACCTGACCCGCCTGAGTCACACACAGTCTTTCTTGCATGAGGTTCTCCAGGAACAGGCCCAGTGGGCACCCAGTGGCTCTGGCAGGTACCTCTTGGAGAGTGTGTAGCCTTGGCTATGATTGGGTTGCTGGGCTCGTGGGTGACCAAGTCTGGGCAGGGTCCCCCCACCTGTACCTCCCTGAACCCTCCCCTCCTGGCTTTCATGGTGTTGGTAGATTTCCCCAAAATGAATCTGGGAATGATGGCCCCAGTCAAAAGCCCTGGCGTGAGACCACCACAAAACCCAAACAAAGAATCCAGGCCTCTCCGTGAGCTGATGGCACACAGGTTCGCCGCCCACGTCACCACGACCTTGTGTCCCTGGCACCGGTTCCAACCTGCCAGGGACCAGCAGCCCAACTCGTGCCCACTGTCATGGAGGCCTGGGTGAAGCAACGTTGGCTTCAGGAACGGGAAGAGGGGCCTGGCAGCTCCCTGCCCGGGCTGACCATCTCAGAGGGCATCCTGGCTGGCCCTGGCGGCCGGGGAGAGCTGACTTTTAAATCCCAGCCTTGGGTTGCCCCGGGCACCCCGAGAGTAGAGCCATCTGTGCTTGGTTGGCTCTGAGGGCCCTGGGTCGGCCACAGGCCTGTGTTCTCTCCAGGGCCTTCGGGCTGCTCCTGACCCTTATTTTCTCACAATGTTTTCTGGACCCTGATTGGGCCTCCACGAGGCCTTCTCCCCTCAGCAGCGGGGCTTGCGGAATGGAGACCTGGGCTCTTCTTGGTGGCTGCAGGCGATCACTTAACCCCGGTGACCAGCAGGGACAGGAGGCCAGCTGGTGCACAGACCTGCTTATCGGTAGCGGGGAACAGTCCCCCTCTCTCCCGCACGGTTCCCCCCCGGGAATTCAGCATGCCCGCCAGGCGCGGATTTCCTCCCAGGGGTGAGGGGGTCGGGCAAGCCGAATTCACACAGAAAATGGAATTCACCCAGGGCCCCAAGATGCACACGCGCTTAACKCGGCCTCCCCCGCGTGGGGCACCCTCGGAGCACCTCGGAGCCGGTGCTTCCTGGCCGTGCCGGGGGCAGAGGCAGCCCCACCCGAAGGAGTTAAGGAACAGAGCGCGGGGAACGTGGGCTTCCAAGGCGATTTTGTTTGTGAGCTCTGCGCAGTTACCAGTTCCAAATCATAAGGTGGCATGTTAATTACCCCCACTCCTAATTTACCTTTATGCCGCACACAGTCAACGGGAAGGTTTACGGGGGTGTTCTTTCAAACCTCAACAGCGCCGGGCCTTCGGGAGGAGGGAACAAGGGCCGTAGTTCTGTTGCTGAATTTCTGAAAGGATCCTACCAGCCAATTAAAAAGGAACCGTTGGCCACTTAAAACATAATCATTACTTCTGTGAATGCTGCTAAATTAAATAAGTGTTATCCGCATGATTTTTTTTTTTTTCCGAGACTTTGGTTTCTTTTGAAAGAAAACATTTTGTTACTTCTCCAGCGGATCTGTTTGCAACCAGCGTGAGGAATCCGAAATCGTTTTTCTTATGCTTAAAAGTTCTTGTCCCCGAGGCTTCACTTCACCAGCAACGTCGTCGGGGAGCARGGAGTGGCCTCGGTCACTTCCACGGGTTTTCAGACCATCGGCTGGAGAGATGGGCAGCAGGCGCCAAGCCCCAGGTCTCCCGCCGCTGGCCTCTGCCGCCTACTCTTTCCTGACATTTTACCAGGTGACACTCTTGTGACTTGGAAGCCACCACTTCAAAGTGAGCAACTCAGGGGCACCTGGTGCATTCACCATGTCCCTCAGCYACCGCCTTCGCCCAGAGGACACCCGCGCCCATGAGTGGTCTCTCCCCAGCCCTGGCAGGCAGCGGTCCATCTGCCCAGTGATCCGTCTGTCCTGGACCCTTGGTAGAGAGACACGTGCAGGGGTCGGCTCCTCTCCCCTGGCTCCTTTAATTCTGCATGATATTTAGGAATATTTTAATGGACAGATCATGATCGTGTGTATTTACAGGGCACAGTGTGATGTGTCCTCACACGCCCACATCGGGGAGTGGCCAGATCAGGGTGATCAGCGTAGCCGGGGCCTGGGGGAGGGCACCGATGGCCGACAGGAGGAGTGGGTTCTGGAGAGCTGCCGTGTGGCAGGAACTCCTCCCTTACCGGCCGCGTGCTGCCTGTTTCAAAGCCCCTCTGGAGGGCGCGGCCTGCTCTGACACCGTGYGCGAGGCCACTGAGGTCAGTGCACAGGCAGCATGTCCATGCTCCCCTCCTTCTTGGGAGGGACCACGGCCCCTCACACAGATGGACCACAGGGTGTTCGTCGGCCCCTCCGCTGCGCGGCATCTGGCCTGGGTCTACCGTGGGCTGCTGGGAATATTCCAAGTCCCTGTTTTCGGTGGCTGATGCAGGGAGGGGGTGCCTTCCTCTCCCACCCACCCCGGCCTCACCCTCCTGGGTTCCTCCTGCCCTCAGGGCCTCAGGCTCCTCTGCACACTCCAGGAGGCACTGACCCTCTCTGAGGGTGGACCTGGGCCTTACCTGTGCCCAGTCAGCCCCTAGAGTGGCCGTCCTGTTGGGGCAGCAGCTCTGAGCAAACTGCATGTGAACCCAAATTGTGAGTCCTTCCGAGACTGAGGACTGTCCTCCGCTGCCCCGTTCCTGGTTCCAAGAACCCCAGGGTTCTGCCGCAGTCATTCCACCGTCCTCTCCGGGTTGGCCGCTGCACTTAGGACCCTCCCGCTGTCCCGAGGCCTGTGAGGGGCAGCGTCCCTCCCCTGCTCCCCTGAAGCAGGACCGGTCAGCACATCCCTGGGCTGTGGGGACCACAGGCCCCACAGGAGCCTGCCTGGTGGATCTCCCCAGAGCCAATGACTCCTTGCTTCCGGAGGGAGCAGAGGTGGCATCAGCTGGGCAGCGGGAGGCGGCCAGGGCCCAGAGGGCTCTGGGTGCCCTGGGTTCCTCCAAGGGCCCATGACCCTGGGGGTCCCTTTGCCATGGAGGCTGACACTGCCTTCTCTCTTTAGGTGACGGTGACGTTGTAAATAATATGTATGAGCCCGACCCGGACCTGCTGGCTGGCCAGAGTGCTGAGGAGGAGACGGAGGACAGCATCCTGTCTCCCATCCCCATGGGGCCACCGTCCCCCTTCCCCACCAGTGAGGACTTCACCCCCAAGGAGGGCTCGCCCTACGAGGCCCCCGTCTACATTCCCGAAGACATTCCGATCCCGCCAGACTTCGAGCTGCGAGAGTCCTCCATCCCGGGGGCCGGCCTGGGGATCTGGGCCAAGAGGAAGATGGAGGTCGGGGAGAGGCTCGGCCCCTGCGTGGCGGCTCCCCGGGCGGCGCTGAAGGAGGCCGACTTCGGATGGGAGGTGAGCATTCTGAGCCTGAGCATGATTGATCACGGCCATTTATCTTGTGTTCAATCTATTTATAAAGCTGGGGAGCAGCCACCGCCCGAGGCGGGAGGCTCGGTGGGTCGGAGAGAGCGTTCGAATGTCACATTTCCCAGGGTTATTTTATCCTGCAGCTTTCATGACGCGACTCAGAAAACATCAGCGGGCCTCGTGGACGCCTGTCAGCCCCCATAGGCTGCAGCGCTCTCCGCCCGGAAATGTGTCTTTCATGAGCTCATGTCTTAAAACATCCTGTGCCTCCCGCCAGATTGTGGGTGCTAACGTGCCATCGTGGCAGAGCAGGGGACGTGAATGGATTGTCCCAGAGGAGCCGTCTTGACTCTGGGGCTCCATCGTCACCCCGGCAGCCGGGGGGCAGCTCCCCAAATGTCTGCTGGCCATGCATGTCCATGCCAAGGGCCTGCTGCCCAGTCGTTGCAGGGGCAGATTCTCAGGTCTCAGGGCCTCTTCCAGCCAGGGAGGGTGTCCTGCTRTTTAAATTTCCTTCCCAAGCCTCGGCTGGCCTTGATGGTGTTGGTGCCCGCGAGCGCCAGACCTGCCACGGGGGCGGGGGGGGGGGTCAGAGACAGAGGCTGCGTCTGCTGAGACRGCGTGGATCACCTCCCACGGCCTTGCCAGGGCTGCTCAGGGGCAGAGTGTCCAGAGATGTCCTGCTCAGCCCTTAAGGGTTCAGAAGAACACTCTTTGGGGGGGCTCTCAGATGGTCTCAGGGGAACTGGAGAGCCGCAGTGGCCCTTCCTCAAAGCCCTGGCCTTTCTGCTGACCCTGTGCTGACCCTGGTTTGTGGGGTGTTTTCGTTAGGGATGCTGCAAACCCAGGTCCCTTCTGGTATCCACCACCTGCAGAGATGCTTGGGCCGAGGCTGTGCGGGAAGATGAGCATCAGGTGGACGGGCTCTGCCCGCTGGGCCCTCCCTCCTGCCCTCTAGGGGCTTGGAGAGTTCCCCAGACTGCCCTGCACCTCAGCTGTCTATGCAGGGTGAGGGACGACCTTGGCCCTTAGTGCTCCCAAACATACCCTAGAGACACCACACGCACAATCCCCTCGTCTGGACCCTCAGGGCCCCAGGCTCTCCCCTGGGCCTGCAGCGCTCCAAGCCCTTTCTAAAGATATCAAGGAAAACTGGGTGCTAACGTGCCTGGGGTGTGGCTAGTGGCTACCCCCTGGCCCCAGAACTGAGGCGAGGGAGGGGTCTCCACACTGTCCTGCAGGCAGGTAGGACGTGGCCCTGCTAGCATGGGGACTCSTGGGGCCCGAGGCACGGGACACTGGCCTGCCAGCCCAAGCATCGGCTCTTGGAGGGCTTTGAGGTCGCAGGAGGGGGCCAGGTGACCAGGTGGGTGGAGGAATGGGTCCAAGGTGGTGGAGGTGTACCCAGCCAGCTGGTGTGGGGGGCCCGGGAGTCAGCTGCTGCCTTCCGCAGGAGGTCACCTTCAGGACTAACTGGCCAGGGGCCAGGAGCAAGGTGGGCAGAGGGGAGGGAGCCTGGAGTCACAGCCACGTGGGTGGGTGGCACGCCTTGGCGTGGCCAACAGGCTTGTCCTTCAGGGCCAGGAGAGCCAGGTCCAAATAAGGTGGCAGGTGACATTTGGGCTGTGGACTGGACGTGGCTTGTATGCAGGGAGGACTCCGGGGGGTTTGTCTGACCTACTTAAAAGGCCTGAGCTGTTTAATTAGTAGGCGGCTTTCAGGTGCTTGAGGGTCAATGAACCCTGCAGGTAGCTCTTTGGATGACCTTGAGGTGACTTTGTTCTTGTCTGCCTTGATACAAGTTGTGTTTGCTTTATTGGAAGAAATGGCCTGTATCGCTGTGGCTCTGTGGTGCAGGGCACACAGGCTGTCCCTGTCACCCGCCGGCACCTGTTGACTTTGCAGTGTTGTTTGCTCTCTGAGCAGGTGAGGGAGAGTTCCTGCCCCACTGTGCCCCCCCTTCTGCTGAGAGCCCTGTCCCCCACGGCGACCCCACAGCTTCTTGTCGAGCCAGATTTTAGAGTCTGCCCTCAGCCCCGTCCTCAGGGCCTCCGGATGCGCCCGTGCTGTCTCGTCTGACCTTGATTTCGAGTGGCCCAGGCACCCGTTGGCTTGGTGGCCCTCTCTGCCTTCCCCACCTGCCACCAGTGACCGTGCAGTCYCCTGTGTCGTTGGGATTTGGTACCAATGGCAGAGGGGCACCGGAGACCCCTGGGGACTCGTGGGGAAGCTCAGGGCGAGCCCCTGTCCCCTGGGATCCAGGAGGACAGGGAAGCGCTTTCTTTCTAGCTCCACAGTCTCAGCCCGGCCTCGGGCAGGGAAAGCCACCCTCCCCTCCGGGCAGCCTGACCAGCACCTTCTACGTGGTCCTGAGTGGTGGCTGTCGCTTTAGGGTCTCCTGGTCTTTCTGGAGGTCTGCCGGGCTCAAGAGAGGCCAGCCCTGGCGGTGTCCCTCCCCAGGACTTCCCTGACCTGCTTGGCCCGTGTGCCTTATCTCTCGATCACCGCCAGCAGGGCCTCCGAGCCCGGACGGAAAAACCTGGGACCCAGCGCCCAGGCCTCTGTGGTTCTGGCAGCAGAGGGCCTCCCGTCAGCCACCCCAAGCTGCTCGGCACCAGGTGGCCCTGACCTGCGGGCTGCTCCSGCCTGTGTTCCTGCAGACGGAGGAGGTGGATGTCATGGGGCTGTGTCACTGGGCCAGTGCACTACTCACTGGGGAGCCCGGCAGGCCCAGGCCACCCAGGGCTGGGCTCCCGATGGTCCAGACTTTAAACAGGACCGTCCACGCTCACGCCGTTCACTGTTGTTAACACGGTGTTCATCTACGGAAAAAGAATAAGTAACGTTTTAGCAAAGCTGACAGCTGAAAGCTAAGGAGGACCAGGATGGTTTTGTGTCCCCAAGGGGTGGCCAGGAGCACGGGATGGTGGCTGGTCTGAGCCACCATGAAGATACATAGGGCCAGTCAACCCGAGGTTTTGGGGTGACTCAGACCCAGACAAAGTTCTCCTCTCCCCCAGGCGGCAGGTGGCTCCTGCGCACGGGCAGGGACAGCCCGCTCCAGGGGAACTTCCTTCAGCTGAGCAGAATGCGGGACCCGGCCGAGCCTCTCCTTCCACTGGTCACTTGTTTCTTAGGCCCCGAAGGCTGTTCCTCCTTCCATCTCCACACATGTATCAGGGACATTCAGTGACTTTAGGCCACCCCATGGGGTGCTTTGGGGCCACCAGGACGTGACTTCTTGCTATTTTGGAAGGAAACACGCCCCCTGCCGGATGCCCCTGACTGGACCGGGTGGGCTGTGCCCGTGTGGGCTTGGGTGCCTGGAAACGCTCGCTGGGCTCTTTCCCTAGGGGGCTCTGTCAGGAGGGTGCCCCAATTCCCACTCCCCTGCCGCCTGACGCACCCGGCTCAGCCGCCCTCCCTCCGTGACGCAGCCCACTGTTCGCCCTCCCAGAATAAATCACCCCATGATTGCATTTTATTGCCCGAGGGGCTGCAGAACAATGATTCTGATCATCTGTTGAGTAAATCGTGACATTTATCATCACACTGTTTATTTTGCTAATTAAGAGACGGTGGCAGTGACAGCCCAGGGACAGCCGGCCGTGGATGGGCTGCGTGGAGGCCACCTGCCCCAGGCAGCGTCTGCAGCTGTGCCAGCCGCTCGGGCAGGGAACGTGGCTGGAGGCCGGGGCAGGCCCCAGGGCAGGCGACCCGAGACTTCAGCCTCCGTTTCCCCCCAAGTCCTGTGGGATGCTTGCTGGGGGAACCCCAAAGCCCTTCTCGTGGCCTCCCAGGCCTGCTGTAATCAGCACTTGAGTGTCTTCTGCTGAAGGAGGGCGTCTGCCTGTGTTGGAGAAGCTGCTAAAGAATGTTGCTGTGAACCGACGGGGTTTCAATTATCTGGAGAATTGACTCAAGTGGACTGCGGCATCCCCTGGCGCGAATGACTGAATATTAATAGACACGTTCGTTTGTTCAATCAACAAACCATCTGGGCCTGGGCCAAGGCCCGTGGGAAGCTGCAGGGTTCCTGGGAAAGCAGCTTGGAGGCTTTGGGCTTCCCCGACTCCCCCCTACCACAATCTCAGGGGCTTCTCCAGGGACCCCAGGAGAAGGGTCAAGGCCTGTCAGTCACCCCCTGATGGCCAGAGTTGCCAGGCTGGGGGACACCATGGGCACCATCCGCCCCAGCCCTGTCCTCTGAGATTCTGAGAAACTTCTGCCCATAACACGAAGTCATTATGGACAACGAAGCCTTGAAGGGAGGGGGTGCCCAGGGTGTCCCCAGCACAGGGCGTGCACACCTTTGAGCATTCTCCAAAAGCAAGGCATTCCTGGTCCTCCGGGGGCCAGGACGGAGGCCCAGCCGGCTCTGGCTCCTGGTAACGGCAGGGCTGTCTGTGCAGGGTGGCTCAGCCTGCAGCCTCCCCAGGATGAAGGTCCCCAGCAGACAGCTAACGGCAGCTCGACTCGAGAAACAGCCCCGAGGAGCAGCTGCTTCAAGCACCAGCAGCACGTCCCAAAGGCCCCAGGGCTGTGGCCAAGGCCAACCTGATGGCAGGCGGGCAGAGGGGKCACCAGGCTGGGCAGAGCAGGCCTTGGCCTCAGCTCCAGGCCCCCGGGGCAGCTGGGCCTCCCCTTCTCCTTTCTGGGACCTCATGCACCCTCACCACAAGCCCGGTGCTCTCCTCCCCCYTGAAGGTCTTCCACCTGCCACCCTGGGCGGATGGGGTGCCCCTGGGGCAAGGCCTCCAGTCTGCACAGGGCAACCTTCTCCTGAAGTGTTCCTGAAGCCCCGCAGAGGCTCCAGCCTCCCAGGACCGGGCCTCCGTGTCTCTACCCTGCTTGGGCGTGGAGGTTTGGGGGCAGCCGCAGTGCCTGTCGTGTGGGGTGACTGGGGGGGGTGCTTCTGTGAGCTCTGGGGGGATCCTGACGAGGCTTTCCAGCTCTGGGTTCATGGGGCCTTAGAGGAAACCCCG